AAGACTTTGTTTAATTGAACCGAAGAGAGTTAGAGGGTTCCCACGCCCCCTTTGCTCCCACTATGCCTAACCATTTTGCTTGAGTTGTCGTGGATGATTTAGCCTACTGTAGAAACTGGCTTGGCAGCTCAAAAAAATTGTGACAAGCCTGAGGTCAGTCAGAAAGTTGGTTAAGAAAATATGTAGTTTTTTATAGATAAGATAATTTGTTACCATAATATAAAATTGACTGGAAATGGTATTTCAATTGAGCATTGGAAAGAAATTATAGTGCCCTTCTAATTATCACTAGGTATGGCAATAACAAACAAAGAAATCCAGAATTCGGTCCGCTAGAAGCCTAGCTAACATGAGGAGGACGTGTAATCAAATATAACGAGGTCAGTTTTGGGGCACTAATTTGCATCTAGTGAATTGCTCAACTGGCTTTCCTCTGCGAGGTCATGTGTATGTTGTTCAAATGGTGCCATTTGATATTATGATAGTTAATTATGTCATGTGCTTCAGTGCACTTAAACTGATCGACCAGTAGTGTTTTGACTTAAAAGAGATCTCATTGTTTCTGATTTGTATTATAAGAAAGGGCAAAGTTACTGTCTCAATGTTTTTCATTTCCAGCTTCTTGAAGCTAAATTTGAGGTGCAATGATGAACAAATGCTACACTATGCATATTCTGAAAGCGGAAGAATTTGATCCACCCGGGGATCTTGTTTGTAATACTAGCTCCTTTTCTTCTCGGAGAGCATGTTCTTGAACCATAACGCTGAGTCCTTTGGGTACCTCTTCAGAGTCTTGTAGTCCACATAGACGATACCGAAACGGGCAGTGTAGCCGAGTCTCCACTCGAAGTTGTCAAGCAGAGACCAAGCAAAGTACCCGATCACCTGGGCGCCATCGTCTATCGCCTTCTTGAGCTCGGTTATGTAGTCTCTGTAGTACCAGATTCGTACTGTGTCGCACACACCGTCAGCGATACTCACGTTGCCTGGTTGGTCCATCCCTGTCAGACCATAACATTGATCATTCATGTCCTTATGAGAACGATAAGTAGTGGGAGTAATTTGTTTAACCGGAAGAAACAATTGTCATTTGAGATGTTGAAGTACCGTTTTCAGCAAGGATCATTGTAGGATTTCCATATCTTTCTTTAACATAGGTCACAGCCTTGTTGATTCCCCATGGTACAATATAAAGCCAGTAGGAGTTTGCCTGCATAAACTCAACCAGCTTACAGTTACAATGTTCCACAGAAAACCTGACTTATCCATCTACAAGGTACAGAGAGTAATCTAGAACCGCACTTACATGAGCTCCAATAGGCACGCCATCTCGTTCATCTGCAAAGACACATGCAAATCACGAGGGTCTAAGAATGTGAAGTATGTGGCACAGTAGAAGGAGTTGGCATGAATGAGGGAGATCTTACAGACAAATTCAACATGCCAATCATCTTGGTAACTGATAGGCGTGAGGTTCCAAGTCCCATTGTCCTTCATGTAGAAAGAAGTGTATTGGTTGATACCAACATAGTCAATGGATCCTTTAACCATCGTGGACTCGCCGGCACTGAAGCGTGGCAACCTATCCTTGACAATCTCGAGCATCGTGAACGGGTAGCGACCATGGATGATGGGATCAAGGAACCTGCAAGGACATTCATACAGTTTCAGTCTGCTTCCCTCCAAACAAAGTTGGTGAAAGTAGGGTGGTAGACATGTGTTGCAATCTGAACTTGTGAAGTAAAATTTTATCCTGGGGTAAACTGGTTTAGGGTTTACCATCCAAGGTGGAAGTCTCTTGCCCTCTGTGCTGCAGCTTGATCAGCATTGTTGTTGCTCAAAGGTTCGTACCATACAAAATCCAAGAGAATTCCAATCCTCCCCTTTTGGTGATGCTATTGAATGAAACATACTAGTTAACATTCACTATTAGGCACTGCCATTGAATATATTCTTCAAGTGAGAAATGACTTGAAGGTAATCTTGAGTCAGTCTTACCTGATACTTGTCACGGTATCGCCGCACCGCCGCAGCATGTGAAAGTATGAGATGGTGCGCGGCAAGGTACGGCTCTATCGTGGAGTCACCTCCTGCAGAGCACTGAGAACACCTCCCCGGTGCATGGAGGCCATTGTCATAGCCGAGAGCTGCGACGCACCTCGGCTCATTGAAGGTAAACCAATTCTTCACCCTGTCTCCGAACACCTTGAAACAGAAATCGGCATAGTCTGCAAACGCGCCCCTTTTGTAGAAACAGAAGAAGTTGGGCGTATCAACGACACATACTTAAATTCAACTTTGAAATGTGGAAGTAATCATTAGCTATTTGAAATGCTTACACTATCCTTGGGCTTAGCCAGCCAAGGTACTGCTGATGGAGTGCCAGTGGGAGGTCATAGTGATAGAGGTTTGCATATGGAGTGATGCCTAATCCACCATTATAATAAGGGTTATTAATTAAACTAGAAATCGGGACCTTGGTGCTGATTGAAAGCTTCTTGCCTCGTGTAGAAATTACAGTTACCTTGCTGAAGCATGTAATCTATGAGCCTGTTGTAGTAACCCACTCCTTCCCAATTCACCTTCCCAGTCCCATCTAGAATTGAATTTCATACACAACTCCTTGTGCATCAAAAACTCTTTTGAAATTTGAAACTGCTGCAGCTGGAGGAGAGATGATACCTGGGAAAATCCTCGACCAAGAGATGGAAAACCGGTACGCGTCGAAGCCCATGTTCTTCATTATGTCCACATCCTCCTACACCTCAGAATAAAGACCTCTGTGAAGCATGACGACACACCAAAAGGCACTCGCAAAAACAGAGCAATCAGCTGGATGATTAATCGCTTAGTATACACACCTTGTATCTATGGTACTCGTCGACGGCCACATCGGCGGTGCCGTTGCCGGCGATCGTCCCTGTCGATCCCCCCAACAACACCACCCATTTAGATCCAAGATGCAGATATGTACAGCTATGTATGTAGCAGTAGCACCACTACAACATGTTCAGTGGAGCTAGGGCAAAAAACAAGATGAACCAAATCGATGGGAATGTTTTTACCTGGTATCTTGATGAAGGCGTCCCAGATGCTTGGCCCTCGCCCTCCCTGCTCCGCCATCCCCTCCACCTGGTACGCCGACGCGGCCGTCCCGAACACGAACCCCTCCGGGAAGCCCTGCCGGCTCAGCCCGCCGGCGTCGTGGATCTCCGGGTTGAGCCGGTGGCATTGCGCCCAAGGCAGCAGCACATGAGCAGCTGCTGCTAGTATCAGCAGCAGAGCCGCCGCGTGCTTCATCGTGTGCGTGAGCGAGGAAGGAGGTGTGGGGATCAAGCCTTGATCTGCGGGCTAAATAATAGCAAATGTTTGTGTGTTTGTGTTGTGTGCGACTCATCATTAAACTAAGTAACTACTAGTAGGGAACAAACAAGTTTGGAAGATAAGATACGGAGGCCGGGGCGTGGTCGAGTGCTAGTGCTACCCCTCCGGCCGGCAGCCGCATGTGTGATGGAACAGGATGATGCTTGCTTTTGCTTGTGCCAAAATTTAGTATGCAAAAGTCCGTTGTAATCACACTGATTGAGGTTGATTGATGAGTTTTGTCGTCCCGTCCATGGGATTGAGGGAGTTGTTGGATGTGCTTAGTATTTGTTTTCACATGATACGTGCATGGAAAATAAATAATCGCATATGGAGGGTGCAGGTGGTTTGAATTTGATGACGTGTTTTCCTCTTTCTTCTGAAATCCAAATTTTGAACAGAAATATATTTTAAACTGAGTGTCTGCGCGCATCGCAAACAATTAATTGTTGTGTCCTTCGCGTCGATAGCTTCGAAACTAATGAATACTTCAAAAGGTAATATCAGTGGCAGTCATAGAACTTGCATCCAATGTTCAGTTACCGAAAAAGGGTTTCCCCCGCATTGTATTACAAAGCACCAACACCGATACAAAGGAATGCTCGGGCCAGAAGCACAACAAGCCCAAAGAAAAGAGAAAGAACAAAGAAGAAGAAAGAAATGCCAACAGCAGCAGCTCGACAAAGCGCGGATGACCCGCCACCGCTGCGCCCTCCGAAATTGACCCACCACAGACCCAGGCTCCGACCCGCCGCGTACCAAGCAGCACCTCCAGCAAGGGATGAGATGTCGACGACGCTGCTACCCGGACGTGTCCTAGTGTTTTCCCCGGCACGCGAAAGGAAGTGGGGGATGGATACATCCGACACCCTTCAAGAAGGGATGGTGGCAACCGCATGTGTCACCGCATCGGAGCCAGAAGAGATCCGACAAGGGATTTCTCCTGCACTCTAAACCCCACCGTCCAACCAAGCCGGAGCCAACCAGCCACCTCGCCGCCCACCAGCATGCGCCACCACGGTCTTGACGCCACCCACGCCGCCTCACCGAGATCACCACCACGAGGCCAAGAGGATGGAGAGAGACGCACGAGGCGACAGGAGCAGCGGTACCGGAGCCCCGCGGGAGGGAACTACCTCCACCGCCGTCGTGCGGGAGTCCCGAGTCTCCGGCACCATCGCGGTCGCCGTCCGGACGCAGCAGCAGGGCATACCAGGCCACCCCTGGCCTGGTCAGCGTGAGGTACTGAAGAGCACCGACGATGGAGCGGTAGAAGGGAGCATCGGACACCGGAGAACCTTCGACGGCGGACACCTTAGTCTTCGTGTCGACAGGCGTAGGAGCAGGCTTGCAGTTAAGCATGTCCGCTCGCTCCAGAAGCTCGTAGGCATACTTCTGCTGGTGCAGAAAGAAGCTAGTGGCTCGGCGAACAACCTCGATGTCGAGGAAGTAGTGGAGAGCCCCAAGTCCTTGAGGGCGAACTCGGTGCCGAGGCGAGCTGTGATCTGCTGAAGTAGCGTTGGCGAGGACACAGTCAGGATGATGCCATCGACATAGATGAGAAGGTACATGGTGGCGGTGCCCTGCTGATACACAAACAGGGAGGCATCGGACTGTGTGGACCGGAACCCCTACTGCTGAAGGAAGGCCGCGATCCGCTGGTACCAGGCCCGAGGGCCTGCTTCAACCCATAGAGAGAACAGGATAGCAAGCACACGTGGTCCGGATAGTCGGTGTCGAAGAAACCAGTAGGCTGCTGAGAGAACACCTGCTCGTCGAGGTGGCCATGCAAAAAAGCATTGGACACGTCGAGCTGGTGAACAGGCCAGGCACGAGAAACAGCAAGCTGGAGAATAGCGCGAATCGTGCTCGGTTTAACAACGGAGGCGAAGGTGTCGATGAAGTCCACGCTGGCGCGTTGGCGGAAGCCGCACATGACCCAACGCGCCTTGTAGCGCTCAAGGGAACCATGGGGCGAGTCTTGTGGCGGAAGACCCACTTGCCAGTGATGACATTAGCACCGGGAGGTCGCGAAACAAGCTGCCACGTACGGTTGCACTGCAGGGCGTCGAACTCCTCACGCATCGCAGCAAGCCAGTTCGGATCCCGAAGGGCTGCGCGGACGGAGACGGGGAGCGGGGATATCCAACATAATCTTCTGCACCACACACAAGCAAATTGCAACTTGTAGAGCTAACATGCCACCTAGGAACAAGATAATTTACAATATCAATTCTAGGTGACAATATCTCAAATGTACACATTTTCTAGGCTTGTAATATGCACATAGCATATTACTCCCCCATAATGTGATACCAATAAGAACTTAACAAGAGGCAATAAGAGGATCCAACAAGAGATAATCAATGGACTATTTAGAATTTGAATTTCTCATGAGAAGACATACCACATAGCGACTAGATAATCTTGTAATATCAATACTAGATGATATTCCTCATGTACACACATTTATAGGATTGTGAGGTGTACAAACCACACCACTCCCCCATAATGGGATATTCTATTAATCTCTCACAATAGCCAACTAAGATACAAACAAGATTCATAAAGGCTCAATGTACGACACACATGTACATGATGTGCAAACCAACACACACATACTTGATTACTCAAGATAAGCAATTGGAGCCACAACATATACAAACACACCAAGCAGGTGAGGTGTTTTCAGCGCCGGAGGAGGACTCAGCGGAGGGCGTCGTCGCATTCGTTCCGGACGTGGACAAGACGACACCAAATGTGATGGATCGTAGGTCCCGTTCTCCGGCAGCTCGTGGTGTCCGCGGGGTTCCTGGCTTGGCTAGGGCTCTAGTCAGGCCATGGGTCGGACCCATCCCGCCACCTCGGCGATCACCGCCGAGGACACTCGGTGATCTTCTTCTAGCGCGGTGTCTCGGTGACGGGGCGGCCTCGTCCGAGTCCAGGGCTGCGCCGCCGACGTCGGACCTGGCCGTGCAGCCCGCTGCGTCAGCCCTCGTTCAAATCTTCGATCTGGTTTCATCGACAGATCCAAGCCTGGCCCGTGATCCGATGCATCCTGGGCGTCCACTTCGGATGGTCAATCTGGGGCGTTGGCTAGGCCACTTGTGGAAACGGGTGCAGCCAGCAGGAAACCCTAATCTCACTCGATCATACGCGGTCGTCGTCCGGTCTCCAGAGATGTCGCGACGTGATCCCTCCGCTCCGCCCGGGGGTACCATCGGCAATCAGGCTCAAGCTTCTCCGAGCGCCGCCCAGCCGCCGGCTGCTCGCATGGCTTCTCCGGCGGGAGGGGCACCTGGATTTGCTCCGGGGGTCTACCAGCCGATTCAAGCCCCGTCATCCTGCGCGCCGTCGGCCTCGTACACGCCGGTGCAGCAGCCACCGGTACAGCAGCCGCATATGCAGGTATACCAGGGGCAGTTCCCGCACCAGTTCGTCAGAATCCCGACACCGTACATGCAGCAACAACCAGTTCATCTTCAACCCTCGGGGGGCTACATACATCAGCAACATCAGCTAGCTATGGCTCCATATCAACCGATTGCCAGCGCTTATGGGCAGCAGCAAGGGCCTCTCGCCGGCGCCAATCAGCAGCACCTCCATCAGCCGACCACCAGCTTCAACACCGGGCCGGCTATCACCTCGGCAGCCGGACCTGTCACGACGCGCTCTCGCAAGCCAAAGGAAGGCAAGGGTGGCCGTCAAAAGATTCGTCTCCCATGCAGGCTGCTACGGGCCCTTCGATGCCAACTACGGCTCCTGTGTACGTCCCGGCCGCTTCATCAACAGTGGTTGCGGGTCATGGACAGGGTGCACCTGTGCACTTGGCTGCCCCGTTTCATCAACCACCGGCTCCATCTTCTGGTACATCCGAGGTTTCAGTGGCACACAAAAAACTGTGGTGTTCTAAATGTCAGTCAGCAGGACACTTATCTGATGAGTGCGACACACAACAGTATTGCTTTATTTGTAACAAGACGAACCATCCTATGACTATGCGTCGGTGTCCGGCTCTCAAGTTGCCGAAGCCGACGGCGTTGCTTTGTGGCTATGGAACTGAAAACATGGCTTTTTTTCAGATGCCTGATAATATTTTTATGGAGGATCTCTCACCTCTGGATTCACGAACTGCACTTGTATCGATTTCTGACGGCTCTATTTCTCCCAATATCGTGGAGGCAGATGTGGCCAAGATTGCTCAGTTTCAGCAGCAGTGGACTTGGGAGGCTATACCGCATGGCGAGGATGCTTTTCTCATGTCCTTTCCAAGTGAAGAAGTTTTACAGCGGGTGACCGGGTTTGTAGTTTTTATCAAGTCTCATAATGTAACTATTGAATTCAAGCCTTGGAAGGAGGAGGTACCGCATCGTTTTGAGTTACAGCCTATCTGGGTGCACGTGCACGGTGTGCCACATGCTCTTCGTCACTTCCTGGGTCTTTGGGCAGTCGGCTCGGTGATTGGTGCTACCCTGGACGTTGACCTACTCTGTTTGCGTCGTCAAGGAATTGTTCGCATTCAGGTGGCGGTGCTTAATCTTGACACCTTCAAGAGGAGCCCAATTAATTCTCTCTCGTCTGACGTTGTTGTCCAGAGGAAGGGGTATGAGTTTCGATACAGTCTGGAAGAAACGGACTTTCGGGTTGATGCTGATTTTGTGCCTAGAGTTTGGGAGCATGGAGATGATCCAGGCGGCGATATGGGTCATGACAGGGAGGACACTGCAGGGGTAAGGACCCAAGTAAGAGGCCCAAACCCACCTCGTCGTCCAATGAGTCTTCAGTGCCACCTTCATCTGGCGGCATGATGCCCATGCAGTTGTCCATGTATTCTGGGAGGTCCTCATTGCCATCTGCGATGTCTTACCCGACGGCCACGACGCCACCAGCTGCACCAATCAGGGCGCCCTTGATCACCACGCCACCGGCATCCTTGA